AGTGGTGGCGTACACCTTTAATCCCAGCACTTGGGAGGCAGAGGCAGGCAGATTTCTGAGTTTGAGGCCAGCCTGGTCTATAGAGTGAGTTCCAGGACAGCCAGGGCTACACAGAGAAACCCTGTCTCAAAAAACCAAAAACCAAAAAACAAACAAAAAAAAGAAAAAATAAGAAAAAGAAAAAGAGAGATTCCCTCCGGGTAGGTTCCAGTTCCCTGGTCAGTCTATTTTAGAGTGGACACTCCCTGACTTCCTTACACTTTCCTGTGAGATTGCGGGAAGGTGGGAAGGAAAAGAGAGGAGAGGGAGAAAGATATAGCTCGATTGTGCCTCTGAGACCAGGAGGTTTGAGTAGCAAACCTTGTCAAACCCAGTCTGGAGACATCATTGAGTGTATTCGCTCCATGCAGCAAAGCTCAGCTGTGTGATTCTAGGCATGCCGGTTGCCATCTCTGTGTCACGGATTGTCCCCATCTGTGAGTGAGGACATTCATAGATTCTGTCCCACTGGGGGGCTTGCAGTTAGGATTAAAGAAAAGAATACAGGTGCCCCTCAGAAGGTGTTGCCAGGAATGAAGTGGTGCCTCCTTAAGCAGTGGTGAGTGACAATCCTCTTCCCCGCCCCCGAAATGCCTAGTGTTCTGCAAATGGAACCCAGAGAAACCAGCACCAGAGAGAGGGGTTTGCCACCTCGGAGGGGAGCATCACGCACCAGAGAACAGGGGTTTCTTTTACCCGGTTTGAAATGAAATTGGGTCAGAAGACATCCTGAAAGAATGCCAAAGGCAGGGGAAAAGACTGACTCCGCCCAGAGCAGCCCAGCCCAGCAGGAGGGCAGGGCACAGGGACTTTTAGCTGAGTAATACAGCAGAATTCCTCCCCACACGGCCTTCCGCCTCCTTCCCCGACAGAAACGTCCTGTCTCCCAGCTGTTTTATTGACCCACTTGAGAAGGCTTCCCTGTCCCGATTGTCCCACTAAGACCAGCCTGAGTTTGTCATCAAACTCCACAACGTGTTTCCCATGGTGCCGGTATAACCACCCACTGAGTGAATTACTAGAAAAATGATAAGATTTTTAAAAATAATAATTTTCTTCCTCAATGATAGGGGGAAAAAAAGTCCACACTCTTACATCATTGTTGAAATTGTGAAATCAAACACACAATTAGCCACACAAAGGAAGTTAAAACTCAGTGGGGATCATTAATAAGATGTTAGTGGATAGACAAAGGTGGGGAGAGGGAGGGAGAGGGAGAGGGGGAGGGGAGAGGGGCTGGGATAAAATGATACCAGAATGCACTCTGGGAGAAAAAAGAAAGAGGAAGCCATTTCACAGAAAACCCATACTTTAGACCACTTCCTTCTCTTACAGGTAATCTGTGTGTTGTAAGAGGAGAGAGAGAGAGAGAGAAGAGAGAAGAGAGAAAGCAGGAGGAGAGGAGGAGAGAGAGGAGAGCAGGAAGCTTCCAGGCAGAGAGAGAGGAAAGTGGCAGAAACCTTTGTGGATTCTAGAAGCTACAAACAGGTTCCATTGAAAAGCAGGACACACAAACTCTGGGTTTCTCCCACCTCTCGTTCAAGATAAGAATGTGTAAATTCTGTGGTGGGGGTGGGGGAATTGAACTGAGTACTGGAATCTTACAGGACCGATTTTTTTTTTTCTTGTCTGAGTCACTGATTCTCAACCTATCAAACAGGACATTCTCCTTTCTTCTGTGCCTTGAAGTCACCTGTGAAATCCTCTTAACACTGCAATGCAAACGGAAGGCGCCATTTGAGGGAGGGATTCTACAGTCCCAGATAAAGATGACATGTGGGGAGCTTCCCCCCCCCCAAAGGGTTGAGAAGCTTCCGCTGCTCATCTTTACTGATTTTTACCTCGAAAGTTATAATTTTATACATTTTAAACCTTTATAAAATTTTATAAGGTTTTATTTTGTTTTGTACAAAATCTCAGTATATAGCCCTGGCTGGCCTGGAACTTGCAGAGATCCATCTGCCTCTGCCCACCCACTGCTGGGATTGGAGGGCCATGCCATCATATCTAGCCTAAAACTATATTTTAAGAATCAATGAGAGCTGGCACCTGGATTTGGCTCCCCACACCCTCGTGTCTGCTCACAACTATAAACCCAGTCCCAGGGTTCTGATGCCCTTTGGTCTCCTCCCCAAGCAACAAGAATGCTCATGGTGCATGAAGGCAAAACACCCGCACAAATAAAATAAAAAATAACCTTTTAAAGAATGCATATTAAGGACTGAGTGTGATGGTGTATACTTCTAATCCCAGAACACCAGAGACGGAGGCAGGAGGATCTCTGTGAGCTGCTAGTCTACATAACAAGTTCTGAGCAGCCAGGACTACATAGAGGCACCCTGTCTCAAAAAGCAAAACATATAAATAAATCAATCATGTTAGGGATGTGCCTGAATTGGTAGGTGATTGCTCAGCATGTATGAAACACCGGGCTCCACTCCCTGGTACTACATAAACCTCCAATGGTGATGCACTTGTAATTCAAGAGGTGAAGGCAGAAGAGTCAGGAGTTCAAAGTCTGCCTCAGCTACAAAGCAAATTATAGCTAGTAGCCTGGACTTCCATAATAGCTCATCTCAAATATATATGTTTTTATTTATGTGACCACTTGATACACACACACACACACACATATATATTTGGATATATATGTGAGTTTTATATATAAATATTGGTATATATATTTGTTTTATTTATATACCCACTATATATATGTGTATGTTTTTTGATTTTGAATATATATACATATATATATATATCCAAAAGAACATTTGTTGGCTGTCTTTTGGTTACTGACCTAGCCTGAGCTCAGTACTGAGAAAAGGATCAAGAAGTCAGTATTCCCTAGCCAAACACACTCTCATCTGTAACCCATCCTATATCTGGCCAAATTCTGCAGGGCTGGGGCTGTATGGAAGGCTTCCTAGGAACACTGACCAGCCTATCTGGGGACCACGCCCATTTACAGTTCCACTTGAAACCTGGAAGCCAGCCAGGGGTATTATGGCCAAATAGTGACTGCACCAGAATTAGTTAATCAGAGGCCCCGGGGTAGATAGCGATAATCCCCTCCACACAGACCCGCAGGGTATAAGGAGATTCTGAGCTTCTGTCTTGCTCGGACACCCCAA